ATGAAATGTAATTTGTGACATTTCAATAAAGTTCTGCAAAAAAATTGCAGTGCAGCTCAATCGAATGCATCGGCACTGTCCAGGGACACGAACACCAGCAGCTGTGTGGTTGATCGTGGCTGCTGGTGTGAACGTACCCTAAGGGCTTGTTCACACCATTTTCTGGTCCAGATCTGGAGCAGATGTGCAGACGCGGTGCTATGCGTGCAGCTATAATCTATATCGCTATAATCGTTTTAAACAAAACTTCGGGTAACATTTTTATTAAGCCTTGCAGTGGGGCTACCCCGGCACTGCAAGGGTTAAGTGCTTGTTTTTTTATAGGGAGGAAAATAACAAAGTTATACTCGCCTGGTTCTCCGAGCCAGCTTGCTCTAAAGCTGGCCATACACCTTACAATTATCTGTAGATTTTCTGTGGTAAAGGTGCAACAGATTCCTCCATCTACCCTTAACTGTGTGGATGGAGTAATCTCCACCTGGGCCAATCTGTTGCACTTTTTCCATCTAACCACAGAAAATCTGCAGATAATTGTAAGGTGTATGGGCACCTTTAGGCTGGTCCCTGGAGCCTCTCTCCCCCTCCGCTGCAGCAGTCTAAGGCCCTGTTCACACCTTTACGTTTTGTTGTGCGTTCAACGCTCTACAAAACGTACAAACTTGAAAATCCCATTGTTTTCTATGGGTATGGTTCACACCTTTCCGTATTTCAGCCCGTCTGAACGCGCTACAAAACGGCCTACGCCCAAAGAAGTACATGTACTTCTTTGGGGCGTTTTGATCTCGCGTTTCCATTGGGATACAGCCAAGTAGCCCTCGGAAACGCGCGTTTGTCGTGCGTTTTTTACCACGAATCATGGTAAAAACGTGTGACGCGAAACGCACGACAAACGCGCATATTCAATACGCCTAGGTGTGAACCCAGCCTAAAGTCCCATAAATCATCACATCCAATACACAGTGTATAGGACGATGAGGAACATTCGATCACTGCAGCAGAGGAGGAGACAGGCAGGCGGGAGGCCTGTCACAGCCGGCTGGCTCAAAGAATTGGGTAAGTATATGTTATTTTCCTCCCTAGACAGCACTTTCAGTGTGAGGGTAGCCCCACTGCAAAGGCTTAAAAAAATTTTATTTCTAAAAAAAATGCCTTTAGATTGAATCCCAGAGATCAGTACAACCAAGTTAGGAATGCTGTTGATAAGTGTCCTGAAATAGGACAGCGTGCAACCTACGTATCCACAGCTTTCTGCCTGTTTATAACTACAAGTCCCAGCATGCTGGAAATAAAAAGATTCAGCATGCTGACATTTGTAGCTCAATAACAGCTGCTACACCACAGTTTGCCCTCTTATAACTGGCAGCTGTGTATAGCTGTTTTCAGCCCTTGTCAGCCAGATGCTGAATTTAGCTTCTAAATCACTTGTATTATTTTCAGACAATATGTCTCCCAGCCACAAAACTTTTGTTGATATTTTTGTTTTTCCTAAAACAATCAATTTAATCTCCCAATATCGATGTCTCATGCCTTCTTCCATCTCACTAATTTGTGTTGAGCTCCCATCCAGCCAGAGAATGTTATCGTTTTTCCCGCTGTGCCTGAAATAAGTTGCCATACAGGCCTTTCGTTTGAGTACTATACAGATTCTCGAAAACATCAGGAAGCTGTAACAACTTTTTAACGAGCTCCAATAAAACAAGCCAAAGGAGGTTTACAAAAAATCTTTACCTTACATTAGTTAGAAGCTCGAAAGCCCAGAAATATATGCTCCAGCTAATGAGATCATCAAATGCGGCTCAGAAATATAAACTAAATAACACAATATATATCACCCTGTGGATTTAGAACATAAAGATGTGTTATTTGTTGGGGGAAAAAGAGAATAGTAAAATTTGCTGGAAAGCTCCTTTTTTCTATACTTGTTAATACTTGAGCTTCAGTCTATGTGTGCCTTTTACTACAACTTGGAAACTGGTCAGAAAGGCCATCCATACATTGTACTGGTATACATACATACCCTGTTTCCCTGAAAATAAGACCTACCCCAAAATTAAGACCTAGAACGAAAATAAGACCTAATGTGTTTTTTTAGCCTAAAACAATATAAGACAGTGTCTTATTTTCGGGGAAAAAACACGGTACCAGTTTGCAGTGAGCTATTTCATATGAGCTTATATATACTGTATGTTAACAAATTTTGGAGTGTGATAAAGTGAGTTTGTCGATAAAACTCCCATATACTGGCTAATCATGGTGCAGTAGGATTGCTCTAGACCAGAGGTTTTTAACCTTTTTAGAGTGTTATGTAACCCTAAAATATTTAAATCAATGATAGCAGCTGACCTTGGTACTTGCCTTGTATGCTACTGCTTTTCTGTAAAATCTTCTTGGTTAATCTGATTCACAGATCAATGCCCTAGGTTCCTGTTTTTTTCAGTGGCTTTGTTGCGTTCAAGAAACCTATGGAGCCACCCTTATATGTGAACTCCCAGGAAAGAGAAAGCCTTTAAGCTGACGAACTGTCGTGCACTGGCAGCCAGGGAGGACAGACGGGCACGCATGCACAGTGGCCAAGGTGGTGGTCAAATTATGGGACATGTAGTCCTGAGGAGGGGGAACAGGGGGACTCCCAAAGCATTCGGAAGTACAGTGAAATCGGCACACAGAAGCATTTGCAATAGCTTTGACTTTAATATTATTTTAATTCACATAATGCATCTGAAATAGTATGTTGGTCATGATGTAATTTCATGTTTACTACCAATTGAGCTATTCTTTTAAGATTTCCAGTTAAATTATATGTTTTGGTCTGCTACTTTCAGGAGGAAACAATGATAATCTGCTTTGTACAGATTATATTATCATTTCATTTAAACTCTCTACTAACCTATTTTCCAATCGTATATAAAATCTGCAATTTTTGCATTTGTTTGTCCTAATAGAAAAACATTCCGCAAAGAAAGCATATACTGTATATCTTCCCTTTCATGCTTTATAGAACCTTGACAAAACCAGGTCTTATGCAAGTGTATATTTAAAACATACATTTCTTGTGATGTGATCAGAAACATTCTCAGAACAGAGATGGGCTTTTGTGCAGGTAAAGAATATCTGTGGCCTTTTTTCTACGTACCCCCTGCCGGATGAGTAACTAAACTAGTAAATTATTATAATATATGCGGACATTTTCACATCAGTTTTGTCAATAGCGATGTCTCCCCCAGCATAAAGTATATCACAGAATGAGAAGAAATAGCATTCATAAAACATTTATAAGTGTAGCACAAGTAGGGCTGAATGTTGGCAGTTTGTTATCCGAAAAATAAATTAGCATACAAAAAACTAAAAACTAAAAGACCTTCGAGAAATATAACTGATGTGACTGTTAGCGTTAGAATCTGACATTTATCCTTTGTGTGTGAGAGTTCTTGTGAAATAATTATGGAAACTTCATGAGCAAACCCTAAATAAGTGAAACATTTCCAAAGATATATCAGGATCAACATATAATTGGAGACGATGGATGGAGCTCAGGCTGTGTGGACTGGTCCATTTTAATCCTTGAGGATATTTTTTTCGTGCTTCTTCCAATTTATAGCTGGACTTGAGGCGGCTATAGACAACACATAATGTAGCTCTTTATTGCGTTATTTTTCAGACCTATGTGCACAGTAACATACACACTTCTTGAACATGCATCACAGGACACAGGGAGGGGAATTTATCAAAACCAGAACAGACAAAATCTGGAGCAGTTGTCCGGGGCAACCAATCAACTTATCTCTTTATTTTGTTCAGTTAAGAGTTGAAAATAAAACAGAGAAGCTGATTGGTTGCTGTGCACAGCTGCGTCAGATTTTGTCTGCTCCAGTTTTGATAAATTCCCCTCAGTGTGTTTAATGCTTTAACCACTGGGTTAAGCAACTACCTTTAGGTGACAGTAGCAAGTCAATCAAAGCTTCAGGACATTCCTGTATAGCCCGTACCACTCCCAGCCTGCCTTGGTTTATTGCTAGTTTCTTCAGGTGATGGATGCCTTCTTTCAGCTTTAAAAGAAAAAAAGCACTCTCTTTTACTCTTCTAGCAACTTTCCCTAATGTTGCTTTAGGCCACTGTGGCACCTCCAACAGCTATCCACATACTTTTCTCCTCAGTGAAGCCTTGGTTGACCGTATCCAAACATAGAATTCATTTTTTGTTCGATAAAATTAGTGGCTATCTCTGGACCTCAGACAGGGGCAAGCTCTCCTGTTCTGCTATAATTCATCGCTGTCTCCTACCACCAAAGCCAACCATTGATGAGACTTATTGGGATCCCCCACTGATTAATGTCATCAATATCTGACACTGCTTTGAATCATCTTTTACATACCATCATTCTGATCTCTGTGCTTGCCAGCGGATATCCCTGTTTGGCAACTTTTAACATGTGACTTGTTAATTCCTTTGCTACCATACATTCAAAGTCTCATAAGCTCCTGAGGAAATGGTTCTCCCTTGAAATGCATTGAGCAGAAAACTATATATAGCTATAGATCTATATCTATATAGATCTATATCTATATATATATAAATATAGATCTATAGATATATATCTCTATATATCTATAGAGCTCTATATATATCTATGTATAGAGCTCTATAGATATATCTATATATAGAGATATATCTGTAGATATTGTGAGAGTGGTGTTATTTGGATGAGAATTAATGAGACACACATCACCTATTTTGGAGAGAAGTCACTTTTATTTGAATATTAATATACACATTCAGGAAAAGTAATTTTAACTGTATCATTTTGTAATTCAAATTTGCATATTTTATTAAAATTGCGTGCTTTATATGGGTACCCTTACCCTCTATTCTGTCGAATCTTGCATACAATTTATTTGGTTGTGGTGCCCTTTACTGGTGATCTGATTCTCTTATAAAATCTGATGTTTTAGATAAAATTAAGATCAAATAAGCTGTTAATTATTTGGCTTTGCTTCTTGCAGGAGGAACCAATCACATTTTGCGAGGAGACCTTTGTGTCCCATCGTTCCAGCGGAATGAGACCATTTCTTCAAAATGCAATTCAGCTGCAGCTTTTCAAACAGGTGACCATTTAAGTACTATCTTCTAACAAAAAGTCAATCAAAATTAAATGGCAGACCTAATTAAAGCAAACATATGAAATCTTTTTATTTTTAGTTCATAGATGGACGCCTTGACCTGCTGAACACAGGAAATGGATTCAGTGATGTATTCGAGGAAGAGATCAATATGGGAGAATATGCTGGTAAGGAATTTTGGGAAGATAATCTATAATTTCTGTTCTAATTCTCTTGACTTCAGTCAACTGATAAAAAAAACATATTCCACTATTTCATATGTTTATTTTGAAGTGCCCCTTAGGCTTGCAATACTAGCAGCTTTTGTCTGGGCATAAGCCAAATTGACCATTTTCATTTGGAAATTATTTTATTATTATTATTTTAGGAGTTCAGTGGGCTTTATATGGCTCCTCAGGCTTGTTGTGGGTTTTTTTGTGTGTATTTTTCTTTTTCGTATATTTTACTATTGGACTTTTTTTTACATAAAAAAAAAAGATGCCAAAAAGTTAAAGTTACAAATATGTGTGTACAGTCCCTTTAATTTGTCGTTTTCTTTTTTTTCTCTTCTTCCCACTTTTTTCCCTTTCTGTACAAAAAGTGCATATAAAAGTAAATTCTTGTGTACTGTTATTTTAAACATAAAACAGAAGTCATCAACTTGCGCAACTAGATTGATTGTTTATGGACTATATATTGATAATATCAAAGGAACTCCATTTATACTGGTAATTAATCCAGAGAAGATGTGTGCACTGATCCTGCAGCCAGGTTGGCTGGATAGGGAAACATCCATGTAACACCACTGTGAAGAAAACATAGAAAACCGGCGCACAGATCTAAGTGCAGTATAAAAGTGACTGTTTAATAAGGTTAAAAGTAATGCACTTACATCATATTAGAAAACACCTCGCCTGGCACGCATCAGACGAAAGTCCCATCGCAGCTGCTGGTCCAAGATTGCTATCAGGGTATGGAGAGAGCAGAGTCCAGTTCAGTCCAGAAATATTCCAGAACAACTGTGCTGGAAGACACAGGTCTGATCCAGTGGCTGAGCACTGCTGTGGCTGGTTCTCCTCAAAGCAGGGTCACAGCTGCTGAGTACTTCCGGGTCGTCAGGTGTTGCTAGGCAACGCGTTTCAGAGGTTCACCTCCTTTGTCAAGCCTAAGGTTGGAGTGGGCAGAGTCCTTTATATAGGGGAAAGGGAGAAGCATTGAGCGATTTGGCGCCAACTAGTGGGAGGAAGCCAATAGTGGTAAATTGCTGCCAGGAATGCATCATAAAAGTGGTCGGCAATGAAAACATAATAGTAATAATATTAAAAGATATTAAAATTGATTGTGATAAAATAAATAAAATAACGATACAACTATAAAATTATAAGATTATAAAAGACCTATAAGGAGCAAGAAGAAAATTTGTCAATTGTTGTTGAAATATTAGAAAGGGGTCTAATGCATGTAAAGTATACATGGATGTAGATGTATGGTATGCATGTACAATGCGCAAAGGTGCAAAATAATCCTTTTAGACAAAAGATATATGTTTTAATTTGGGGGACTTAATGAGGGGATATTTATTAGGAATGTAGGCCACATATATGTCCAATACGCATAGATGTAAATGCATGAACAAGCGTGAACATCTTGTGAAAGAGCGAACGGTGTATTCTTTGCATTTGAGGAAAAATATTTAATGCATGTATACAAGTTAATAGCAATATCTAGGGCAACATGCGTGTGCAACGCACTTAGATGCAAGTGCATTGCACAAAAGTGCATGATCAAAGGATTTTACTGACTTCTAGTTCCTCATTTAATCCATTAGGGTTTAGTGTATTTAATGTATAGATCCAGTATGTCTCCTGGTTACACAGTTTGTGAAATCTTTCGGCAGGAGACATGCTGCTAGGGATGTGTTTAATTGCAAATACTGTTAGGCCCACTGTAGATTTATTATGTTTGGTGGCAAAGTGTCTTGGTACACTGTGGTCCTTGGAGCCCTGTTCAATATATCGGCGATGTTTTCCAAAACGACAGCGTAGTGTCTTGGTGGTGCGCCCTGTATATAGAAGGCCACAGGGGCAAGTTAGACCATAGACGACAAATTCTGTAGAGCAGTTTAGAAACTGGGTAATGGGATATTCTTTCCCCAAACTGTCCCAGAAGGACGATTGTCCATGTGTGATGAATGCACATGTTTTGCACCTCAATTTTTTACATTGGAAGATGCCTTTCAGATCTCCATAAAAAGACACGAGGGACATGTGATCCTTATCTACTTTAATCTTGCTAGGAGCTATTTTATTCCCTATGTAAATATTCATGCATTATGTCCCCCTTATCTTTTTCTCAAATGTAATTAATACACCTTTCCCTCTTTCACATGATGTTCACGCTTGTTCATGCGTTTACATCTATGCGTGCTGGACATATATGTGGCCTACATTCCTAATAAATATCCCCTTATTAAGTCCCCCAAATTTAAATATACTAGACGTTAGTACAATCCTTTGATCATGCACTTTTGTGCAATGCACACACATGCATATGCACTTGCATCTAAGTGCGTTGCACACGCATGTTGCCCTAGATATTGCTATTACCGTATATATTCGAGTATAAGCCGTCCCGAATATAAGCCGAGGTACCTAATTTTACCACAAAAAAACTGGGAAAAAGTATTGACTCGAATATAAGCCTAGGGTGGGAAATGAGGCATCTACTGGTAAATGTACAAAATGAAGATAGATACCAATAAAATTACATGAATATTTATTTCAAAGAAAAACAATAACTTAGCTCTGTAAGTGGAAAAGGGGGTCAACATATAACAATATGGTATCAAAAATACAGTAACTTTAAAAGTACAACAACCTTAGCTCAATCAGCAACCAAGCTAACACACAAGAGCTAAAATCCTTCAAAACTGGAGTTCTCCTCCTCATCATCTGTATGTCCAAACATACAAACAGCTTCAGCTGGTGTGAGGTTATCAGCATAGACATTGTCATCATCACTGAGTTCACAGTCATCACCATCACTGCTGTCGTTCTCATACAAAGCGCTGTCTTCACTGCCATCCATAGCATTACTAATGCCACATTTCTTGAAGGCGCGTTGCACCAGGTCCTCTGGAATCTCTTCCCATGCATCACGAACCCACTGTGCTATCAATTCTATGTCTGGCTTCCTCAGATTTCCAGCTTTTGTCAGTCGAGCTTGACCAGATGACATCCATTCATGCCACATCTTTCGCACACGGTCTTTGAAAGGTTTATTTAAACACACATCTAGGGGCTGCAATACAGATGTAAGCCCACCTGGAATAACTGCCAAAGTAACTTGAGAAGACTTTGCAAAACCAGGGCTCTGTGGGGTCTCACCAGAGCTTTGATGGGGCCTCACCAGGGTAGCAGGGCTCTGTGGGGTCTAACCAGCCTTGTTAGACCCCACAGAGCCCTGGCAAGACCCCACAGAGCCCTGGTCTCACCAGGGCTCCATGGGGTCTCACCATGGCTTTGTGGGGTCTCACCAAGGCTTTCTGGGGACTCACCAGGGCAGCAGATTTCTAACAGGGTAGTAGATTTTACAGTACACAATTTTTATTTTAGCTGCCTTGTTGTATGTATGTACATATTGTGAATCAGGAGACTCACCGGCTCAAGGGATCCTGTCAGGTAACGAAGGGAAGGGGGAGGAGTCCGGTAACATCAACGGACTCCTTTCTCCTTCCCTTCGTTACCCATCACGGACAACTACATCACCCGACTCCTCCCCCCTTCCCTTCGATAACCGACAGAGCCACTCGGGGAGGGGGGGAGGAGTCCGGTGACGTCGATGTCCGTGACGTCACCGGATCTCCGACGGAAGACCCGGAAGCCGGCGGAGAGGTGAGTACAGATTAAATTAACGATCAACAGTGGATTCGGCACCCCTACTTAGAACGTGACCAGCGTACGTAGAGCCCGCTGACTCGAGTCAGAGCCCGCTGACTTTTTAAAAAAGTGACACCAGAGCAAGCTGACTCGAGTATAAGCCGAGGGGGGCACTTTTCACCCAAAAAAATGGGCTGAAAATCTCGGCTTATACTCGAGTATATACGGTAACTTGTATACATGCAATAAATATTTTTCCTCAAATGCGAAGAATACACCGTTCGCTCTTTCACAAGATGTTCACGCTTGTTCATGCATTTACATCTATGCGTATTGGACATATATGTGGCCTACATTCCTAATAAATATCCCCTCATTAAGTCCCCCAAATTAAAACATATATATTTTCCCCAAATCTAAAAGGATTCTTTTGCACCTTTGCGCATTGTACATGCATACCATACATCTACATCCATGCATTTGACCCCTTTCTAATATTTCAATGATTGACTAATTTTCTTCTTGCTCCGTATAGATCTTTTATAATCTTATAATTTTATAGTTGTATCGTTATTTTATTTATTTTATCACAATAATTTTTAATATCTTTTAATATTATTACTATTATGTTTTCATTGCCGGCCACTTTTATGATGCATTCCTGGCAGCAATTTATCACTATTGGCTTCCTCCCACTAGTTGGCGCCAAAGCGCTCAATGCTTCCCCTTTTCCCCTCCATAAAGGACTCTGCCCACTCCACACTTAGGCTTGACAAAGGTGGTGAACCTCTGAAACGCGTTGCCTAGCAACACCTGACGACCCAGAAGTACTCAGCAGCTGTGACCCTGCTTTGAGGAGAACCAGCCACAGCAGTGCTCAGCCACTGGATCAGACCTGTGTCTTCCAGCACAGTTGTTCTGGAATCTTTCTGGACTGAACTGGACTCTGCTCTCTCCATACCCTGATAGCAATCTTGGACCAGCAGCTGCGATGGGACTTTCGTCTGATGCGTAACAGGTGAGATGTTTTTTAGCTGCAATTGTGAGAGTGTGTGTATGTGTGTGTGTGTGTGTGGAGAGGGGTTGGTGTGAAGAGGTTTTAGACATGATGGGGAGAAATGGGTGCAGGGACAGTGATGATTAGGGAGGAGGGTGCTGGTGTGGGGCTTGTGATGGGGTTTCCTAGTGTGGTTTCTCTGAAAGGAGCTGTTAATTGAAACTCCAGTCGCTGTGCTCCCCATCCAGCAGCAGATGGTTGGTTTCATGAGCTGTCAGGCCAACGACTACAGTGCCTGTGTAAGCCGCAGCAGAAGCTGGAGAGTAGGAAGGTGGTGCCATTTGGGGTTATACGATGACTCTTCACTCTGATCTGCTCTAATGTGCAGCGATTTTTGCAGATACCGGCAATTAGCAGGAAAAGTTTCCTGTCACTAATAACTTATTTCTGGCTTCTGCATGTCACATGATCTACTGAAGAGAGCCACAAATTATAAGTGAAGGGAGACTTACTGTGCCGATAATTCTTTTAACAATAAAAGCGTTCAACTTGTTAAACTCTGAACTGATTTAAAATATATTTGCTGAGATTTCAAACATATAATATAGCAGTCTCGATTTATTAGGCTGAAAGTTTCTTCAAACATATGCTTGTCATGTTTGGAAGCCTCCTCCTATGTCCTCATAGTCCACACATCTCATGGTCAACAGTGTAGATCAAAATATTAAGGCCCTCTCCCATTGTGGTGCACTACTGTATACAAGTTAACGTATGTTGCATATTGCAGCTTTTATCAACAAGAATGGGCTTGCCAATGCATGGCAACTCAAAAAAAGCAAAACATTTTATTTTTTTTGTAATGCAGTGCACCACAGTGCAAAGCACGGGCCTTGTGCCTACTGTACTTGCCCATTGGTGTGTCATTCTAAATGACTGCAACGCAACACAAAGTGTGCCTTGTGTTACCATTGTGGAAAAGCACATATCACGCATAGGTATAAAGGCTAATTATACTTTTAAGTAACTGAATCCTAATTACCCCTCTGCCAACACTAACTAAACCCTCCAGTGCTTACCTTAGATTAGCAAGCAGTACAGTCCAGGATCCTATACAATATCAGATGGCACTTCGTTGGGGAAACCTTTTTGCAGGCTTACAAGTAGACAACTTTTGCTATATTCCCTGCATTGTTTTTTTCAATGAGCATAACTAAAAAAAAAACGCGTATCGTATACTTTTTCACCACCTTGTAAATCAGCATTTCCAAACTGAATCTGTCAAACTGTATTCGTTTTGACATGGGTCTTCTTTTGCTGTTTAAACTCTATAAGAGGTTAATTTGAGAAGCAGTTGGCAACATGCCCTTCCTCCCTGGCCAGAGAGGAGCAATGGTTCAGTCCTTATGAATGAGAATGGTAATTACTACAAAATGGCTTTGGTATTGTATACTGGTCACTTTGAGAGGGGTGTCTCTTTTTTGTAGCTTTGTTTAGCATCCATACATGGGGCTAGCAGGTTATATGCCTGGTGTGCTAAGTTGGTAATCATGGGAAGTGCAGGGCCAAAAAAAAAAAATGAATAGAAAAGAGAAATTAAATCTTCCAGTGTTGATTCGGCATCAACACAACGGAGATTGCATAAAATACTGCATGTTGCTTAAAATGAATGATAAACTTGAAGCAGGTATAAATGAATGCTTGTAATTGTTGCTGAATATTGCAAAATATTTTTTAATAAATGATGAGCTAGCTATGCAAGTGATGCTGAGCAATAATACACTGCTCAGTTTAAGTGCATTGGATGCATCAGCCCTAAAGTCAGTGTCATATGGAAATATATTATGGATGAAGGTGATCATACACAAACAATATGTTTTGCAGAGAAGTGCTACAGTAAGAACCATTTTTAAAATTAGGAATCTGAATGCCAAGTAACCTTAAAGCAGTAGTATACTTGCTTCCCCTTGCTCCCTCACTGGCGCCAGTATTTTTATCCCATCTTCTTTCATTGCTGAGATCTTTAACTGTCTTGGTTGGCCAGGCCAGAATCACACAAGTCCTGCACATGTACACAGGAGTTAATTTATCCTGGCACCATGGCATACCAAGAATATACACTGAGCTGCATATGCACGCATATTCTAAGTGTACATTCTAAAGAAGATTGTAAACAGGCAGGTGAGAAGTCTTTATCACAACGGAGACATAGTGTAGGGGGGGTGGGGGGTAAACGGACTGGCACACGACAAAAAAAGTGCCAATTAAAATGAATTTATTTCTGTTCAAAGGGCACCAAATTAATAAACAGTGTAAATAGATTTTTTGCCACAAAAGGAAATAAGAACAGCTGTGGTGTGAAATGTGGTTTTGGTGTGCAAAGTAATAATAATATATAACAGTCTTGCAGCACCCAAATGTTTTATTGTGAAATCATAAGTGGCACCAAAATAGCATTTTGTGTGAAAGCTGACATCGAAAACTATGTGTTATTTGTGGACAATAATAGACTGTATTGTTGTTACTAAATGTTGAGCATATGTGATGTGTGTCGCAAGTGGTGATTACACATAAAGTTTAGAGACATAAATGCACCCAAAAAATATGGGCATATGTGAGAGGAGAGCAAGTGTAGGGAAAAATCTAAATGGTTTCTTCACAACTCAAATCAACAGTAATCTGATGAAAGTTTAATGAGAAATGTTGAGAAACAAAACTCAAATTCCTTGAATATAATTGAATGGTTTGAAGAATTTCTGCATGAGAGAAATATTGTGAAGAAAGACATGAATGGTAACCAACTTGACAATAAAAAGTCCCAGGCCACACCATCGGTTACTAATAGTAACTTGTCAGTGTTGGAAGATGGTAGAAGAGCTGGTGAGAAGAGATTATGCAAAAGCATAGCGAATTAACCACAAACTATTCTTATTACTATATTTTAGACTTTACTTAAAAGAGAACTATGGGGTAACCTTTTTATCCCATAGTTCTCTTTAGGGTCACGGGGGGACATATACTAACCTCCTCCTGGACCTAAAGCGCCGCAGCCGGGGCGGACCCAGACAATACTGTCGAGATGAACCCAGCTGGCTCGTTGACAGCGGGCTCTGCCTACCTGGAGGCAGAGTCATCTGTGTCCGACCTGTCCGTTCCTCCAGTCAGTGCTGGAGGAGGGGAGGGGCGAATCCCTGCAGGATTTAATTCCTTTAATGGAAATCAATGTGATTATCTACATCACTTAGTGCCAGAGAGAAAAACTTTACAGAAACTGATGTGGAAAAAAGGAATTGGTTATTTTTCTGTGTCATGGCTTATTAACATCTGTGTTATGATCTAACTTGGTCTAAGTTACTTGGAGGAAGTCCCCTCACGATATCAGCATCCAAGCTGCCTTTAAAAAAAAGAAAAAATACCATTTATATGGCATAGAATATATGTGCCATGAAACAAGTCATCCATAGACATTGAGGAATGTGTTTTGTTGCTGGTTGTTCACATATGCAGACAATGTGTAAAATAGTTGGCAAAAAGTAAAACCAGGAAAATTAGAAAATGATCCATTCAAACTATTGTTCCTTTGTTTTCTTGCAAGAAACTGGAATCTTTAATGTCACAGTATTTTATATACTGTATTTCAATATTTTTCTTGCTTCCTGTGCAGGCAGTGACAAGCTGTACCATCAATGGCTGTCAACAGTAAAGGTAAACTTCCTATGTGTTATACAGTACTATTCTATTACTGTTACTCTTATTACTCTACTTTAGTATATTTTAAATCTTTATAATACATATATGCACTGCCTGGCAAAAAAAAAAGATACCACCTGGATTCATCGGGCTCAAATTCTGAAAGAATGGTTCCGGGAGCATGAAACATCATTTTCACAGATGGATTGGCCACCACTGAGTCCAGACATTAACCCCATTGAGAATCTTTGGAATGTGTTGGCGAAGACTTTATGCAGTGGTCCGACTCTTACATCAGTACAAGATCTTGGTGAAAATATAATGCAACTCTGAATGGAAATAAATGTTGTGACATTGCATCAGCTTATGGAAATGGTTAATTGGTGCCGTAATCATAGCTAAAGGCAAATCAACTAAAGCTAATCAACTAAAT